GGTCAATCACAATGCCATTCTATTCTATACAGATAATTATCAAATTACATAATTTTTGGATATAATTTTGAGCAGAAATGGATTAATCTAGCCATTTGATTTATTTTTTTCATTTACAACTTTAATTTAAGCCGTTAATATATTGGCGAACACTACGTTTCAATCAATATTTTGTCTTACTAACTTTACTAACTTATGTAAAGTGAAGAAAAACAGCAGCCTTTTAATTTTAAAACGAGTACACTGTAAAAAAAAATATTGTTGGTTTAACTTAAAAAATTAAGTAACCTGGTTGCCTTAAAATTTTAAGTTGATTGAACTGGAAAAAGTGAGTTAATACAATGGAGATTGATTTAATCATCAGAAACTCAAAATAATAAGTTATCTCAACTAAATAAATTATTTAAGTTGATTTGACAAAAGAAAAAATGTTGTGATAACAAATCTTGAAAATATTTTTTTTTACAGTGTACAACAGCATAAAACAATATTACATATTATAATTTTATTTTTGTCCAAATTATATCTATGGTCAACTTTATTTTTAAACAGTTCTTACACTTTCACAAATATAACAAAGAATGAAGAAATAAAATACTGGTGTGCCATGAATAAAATATAGATTTATAAAAAGCATTGGTTTTTAATTGGCATATTCATTCTGACATATTTAATATTTGCTGATTTGGTCATATTCTGAGTTTGCATATCAGAGATTTGTTCATTTTTAAGAATGAAGAATCTGTATTTGTGCAAGTGAGATGAGTAAATGCATGCTAGAACTACAATGACCATCATGTTTCCACACAACGCATCTGCACTCACTCTTGCTTTCTCTCAACAGGACACATGTCAGTCAATACATGGAAAAACAAAGTAACTTGCGGTACATATTTGAAAAAGTAACTCAGATATTTTGTTGTAAATTTAAAATGCATTACTCGTTATTACTTGTAATGAGTTACACCCAAAGCTGTATCTGACTGAAAAAGAAGTCAAGGAGGCACTAGTGTGATACAACCATTTTGTTTCCAGTCAGACAAATTAAAAAACCAAAGTGCCCTTTCTTCCGGATGTCGCATAAACCCAGCCAAACAGAAAGAAACTGGCGAGTCAACACTTTTTGTATGCAATATGCATCATATGGTCAGTGAACGGACTGGATGTTCATGGGAATGCGGTCTGAAGTTGAGTACACTAAGTGGAGTGTAACTGCTACAAGCTATATTAAGACCGAATCAATCAATCACAACCATATAATGACAGATGGACTCTGTACAAACACTCAAAACAATACAGAGCCTCCAAACCAGGCCGCTCAGCACGCAGCAATGAGTGGTCTGCACCACACTTCTTTTCACTTTCATCAATTTATAGCCTGAGTATATTAGCGATGATTTATGTCTTTGCCTGCCTTTAAAGGTCTGGATCTCATAATATATTACTAGCTTGCTCTGTTCCTGGTTCCTCAAACCACATAAACATTTTGAAGTAAGAAATGGTCATTGAGAAAAGTGTTATTTGAGTTTTTAGCCTTCTAAATAAAGTAGTCCGAGACGACGGGCAGCTGAATCAGTACATGCTGTGGGTCAGAATGAAACTCTGCGGTTGCGGTCGACAGAACGGCAAGTCATTAAGAGGTTGAAATAATGCAATATTGTTTCTCCCTATTCTGCAGTTTCTTGTCAGAGATGTTATCACACGGCTTTGAATGACTTCAGGACTTCCGGCCATTTTCGTTTAAAGAATGCTACGTAATTGTAATGATCTGGAAAATAGTAGCAAGCCGGTCACACTCTGTTGTTTTTTTTTTGTCAATGTTTATGTTTTAAGATGACGGATAGTTTAAGTTGGGAATAGAAAGTCTTTAACATTGTAATCACTTTTTTTTTTTCTCTGCAAAATGTGTACACAACAATCAGTGGATAAAAATGTGGGTTACAAGTCCATTGTGTTAGACATAAGAAAGATTTTTTTTTCTTTTTTAAGGATCCAGATGGGCCGCATTTGATTGGAATACAATGGGGACATTGCATCATTGACCAAATTGGATTTCAGCATCAGAGAGATGTAGTCTTTACAGTAAAATGGTCATTTTGTGAAATAATATTACAACTTATAATAACTGTTTTCTATTTTAATATACAATAGTCAACATTTGAATTGATCAAAAAAGTTCAAAGTTGTCCTATAAGAACGAGTATTGTTCAAAATTAATTTATAACTTTGATGAAAGGTTTTGATCCACTTCAAACGTTGATTAAAATGTCATTTATTCCTGTGATGGTAAAGTTGAATTTTCAGCATCATTACTTCAGTCTTCAGTGTCCTTCAGAAATAATTCTGCTGATTTTGAAAACAGTGGTGCCATTTAATATTTGTTGTTTCTTCAAAACATATCTTTAAAATATAATTATATAATTTATTTAATTTATTTGTTTTTACTGTCACGTTTGATCAATTTAATGTGTTTCTCTCACTGTTTGTTATGAGATGACGCAGTTAACATTTAGAAAAGAAAGTCTTTAACATTGTCATCAATCACTTTTTTTTTTCTGGAATATGTGTACACAACAATCAGTGGATACAAATTTAAGTCCATTGAGTCCATTATGCTAGACGTAAAGAAATATATAGAAATACAATATAAAAAAGGCAAATGCAACATTACGTGACTGAACAAATTGGATTTCACTAGCAATGTGAATTAAATACAAAAAATCTTATTATTACAGCCTTATTAACAAGTAGACTTGGAGTATACTAAGCATAATGTGGTCAGTCCTTTTTATTAAGTCACATTCTAAGAGCTGTGAGATCTTGCTAATGTTAGCCAAGACTTATTCTGTGAAAAAAAATAACGATCAAATCAATTTATGTAATTTGCAAAGGTATATTAATGTTTACGGAATTATCAATGCAGCCAAATATTACAGATTGTAATTACTAATGGCTGACAAACCTCTTTCTCTCCCTCACTCTCTCATACACACACACACGTTCAGTTGTGACTGATGAATATTACTCCATCAAGCAAAATGAAACAACGCCAAGTGACTGAGCCAATCAATCTGTCGGTTAGAATGATCAAGGCTGTTTATATGACACTGCAATGGACAAATACAGCCATAAGACACAGTTTACACCCATAAACAGATGTTTTGCATCAGGTATGTGGTTTAGTCGGCTGTTAAGGACGTCTTAAATGACCCCAATCAGGGAATGACAGAATATTTGCCAAAAAAAAAGCCGAAACCTCAAATTTTAACTTCTACGGCGTGTTATGCAGGAAGGATGAATGAGAGCGATTCCAAGGAAAATACCAAACAAGCTTTCAAGTGTGAGTCAAAACTGGAAAAAAAAAAAAGTTGTAGAGACAGCAAAGGCGATTTTTTAAAGCCCACCCAGTCCACACTCTTACATTCATCCTTTTAGGACTCATTCAGTGATGGCTAATTGGGTATTAATGTGCCAAAAAAATCTAAATGAAATAACATAGGATTTGCCAAGAAAATCTAAGAGGAACAGGTCTCGAGATTCAGCATGGAGAGCCGCTCTGGAGCTGGCAAGAGATTTATGACATGTTAACGCGGTCGACGACAGGGCAGTCCGCGCCAAGGCATCCCGCTGCGTGTGCATTAAGGAGCCGGCTCTCTTAAACATGCTGATCAAAATATTAATGCTAAGAGTAAACACAGGCTCTTTATCTGACAGTGATTTACATTACAGAGACCTTAATCCAAGAGCAGGCCAGTGCTTCCCTCATTAGCCGCCGCAACCTTTACCTCACACTTCTCTGCCACGCTCACAGGTGGATGCACTACTCTGTGTGACTGTTGTGTTTATGTTATCTTTTCATAAGCTCCGCTTGAAATTTGTCAAACTGCATCATTGTTTAACTATGTGCCAGTCAAACGCAGGCGTGCCAGATGGTTGCCTCTCCCCCAACCTTGCCCTTGGCGGTTTCAGTCATACCGAATTTCAAGAGAGAAGTCTCTGGTCCACTGACTTGCTTTTTTCACACCCTTTTTTCATTTGCTTCTGCTAGGGTCTGCCCATGGAAAGGTGTAACGGCATTCACCGAAATCTAAAATGGACAGATGAGGGGAAAAAAAGCGCCCTCAAGTAGATGCACATAAGTTATATGACCGTTAAAAAAAGCATAATTGCTGAATTGTTTAACATAGCATTTTCTCATAGGGGTCAGAGTTATGGAAACTGTTAATGACAGCTTGCGCTGAAACCGAGACCATGGAAAAGTCAGAGAAATTTGTCACTATTTCATTATGAAAATAGAGGACCTACCGCAGACGCATGTACTGAAGTGTCGTTTTTAATATATGTTAATATGTAAGTTACAATATGTTTCATAAAAAGGAGTTAAAGGAGTAGTTCACTTAAAAAAAAACTTTTGCTAATAATTTACATCCAAGATGTCCATGTCTTTCTTTCTTCAGTCGAAAAGAAATTACTTAATTCCAGGATTTTTCTCCAAATAATGGATTTCATTGGGAACCAAACGGTTCAAGGTCCAAATGAGAGTTTCAGTGCTGCTTCAAAGGGCTTTAAACGACACCAGACAATGAATAAGGGTCTTATGAAGCGAAATGATCGCTCATTTCAAAAATAAATAAAAAAGTTTAAGTTTTATATTAAAGCACAAATGCTCGCCTTGCTCTGTTCTGTGATGCGCGTTCGTTCGTGACTCTCCTGTTCAAACTCGTTCATCAAAATGAACAAATCTTTTTTCCAGTCATGACTCGAAGGGTCCTTGATAAGACCCTTTTTCATCATCTGGTGTCGTTTAAAGCTGCACTGAAACTCTCATTTGGACCTTGAACCGTTTGGTTCCCAATGAAGTCCATTATAAGGAGAAAATCCTGGAATGTTTTCATCAAAAACCTTAATTTCTCTTCAACTGAAGAAAGAAACACATGAACATCTTGGTTGACATGGCATGGCGGTGAGTAAATTATCAGCAAAAGTTTTTTTTAAAAGTGAACTACTCCTTTAACTTAGCGTAGCTAAAGAAAATTAGAGCATAGATGTTCATCTTTTGTAAGGATTGCAGGAATAAAAGAGGGAAATCCGACTGACATAAAAAGTCTGCACCTGGAATGGATGCACTTTAACAGAAAGGCGTTTTCCAGATGAGGGTAGGAGTCAAGAATGTGTTAATGTGTTTAAGACAATCAACCCAAAGATTAAGCCTAATAGCAATTGCAGATCTTTGTTTTGACAAGTGGAAAAAAGCGCCCAAAATGATATTTACAGCAGACGAGTATCTTTTTACTAGATGGTGGATGAGCTTTGAATCAATTTAGCTAGCTAATGTTTGATTCTCTTTTTTTCATCTTTGGGTCTTTCACCTTGTGCTAGTCAAAATGTTACAAATGAGGTCTTCGCTGATCCATTTTCAGGGTGCGTTGGCCACGAACACGGGCCATGGCTGGATGTCATGAGTGAAGGTCCAGATGGTCCTATCAGTGTCTCTGCTTCAAATCTAAACAGGTTGACATTTTGCAGGTGCTGGAAAACACTGGGATCAAGCGCAACTTCCTCCACGGTTTATAAAAGGAGACAAAGGTCAAGGCCTCCCAACACTACCTCTGATCAGTCCCATCATTCTCTGTAAGTTCTCTGAGCGCGGCACTTGATAATGTGCAGTTGCAGCGAGAGACTGTGATTGATCATTGACTTGAAAGGACTTTTGTATATAATTCCACTCCCCACTTCAACATGGCTGGGTGTTTTTTTGTCTCTCTCAAGAGAGGACAGTGCCTTGCAGTAAGAAAAAAGAGAGAACAATCAGTACAAAAACAAACCAAAAAGAGAGAAATATTACAGAATAAAAAACAAATATTGCATAAATATTACAAAATATAACAAATACAAACATTTTTGATTGAAAACATAGCATAAAACAAGCATTTAAAACAACATTTCAATTAAAATGTTACATTTTATAATGTAATTTATTCCTGTGAAGGTAAAGCTGAATTTTCCGCAGTTTTTACTCCAGTGTCGCGCAATGCTTTTTTAATTATTATTAATGTTGAAAATTGTTACGCCGATTAATATTTTTGTGAAAACTGTGATACATTTTTTCAGGATTATTTGATGAACAGAATGTTCAAAAGAACCACTTTTATCTGAAACAATATTTTGTAACATTATATACATTCATACTGTCACCTTTGATAAAGTTTATGTTAGGTATAAATTAGTACTGTCAAAACTATGGAAATAAAAAATAAAATTAAAAAAAGAGAATACGCTCCCCAAGGTTGCATTTATTAATAATCAAAAAACAGTTAAAACAGTAATATAGTGAAATATGATTACAAAATGAAAAATTATTTTCTATTTTAATTAGTGCTGGGCAACGATTAATCGTGATTAATCGTACCCAAAATAAAAGTTTGTGCTTACATAATATATGTGTGTAGGGTGTATAATTATTTTGTATATATATATATATATATACACACACACACACACACACACACACACACACACACACACACACATGCATGTACTTTATATATTTAAGAAATATTTGCATGCATAAACTTTATATATATTTATACATAATTTATATTAAATATAAATATTAATATTTTATATATTGATAACACATTTGTCTTAAATATATACATGCATGTGTGTGAATTTTTATATACAAAATAATTATACACAGTACACACACATTTATTATGTAAACACAAACTTTTATTTTGGATGCGATTAATCGCGAATAATCGTTGCCAGCCCTAATTTTAATACATTTAAAAATCCAAAAGCTGAATTTTCAGCATCATCACTCCAATCTTCAGTGTCACAGGATATTTTAATATCCTGATTTACAGCTCAAGAAACATATATTACTATTATTAATATCAATGTTGAAAACAGTTTTTGTGGGTTAACGTTAGGCGAATGTTAAGCAGCAAATGCGGTTTTCAACATTGATGATAATAATAATAAATGTTTCTTGCTGATTTAATCCAGAAATCATCTTTACATCAAATGGATCTGAACCATGAATACTTGAACTAAAAGAATCCCAAATACAGAGAAAGGGCTTTGCCTCCTCTTGTCTAAAGTCCCCCCTACAGCACTGATAGCCCCTCCTATATGTACAGAGGTGAAGTAACAGCAATTGCATGCGCTGGAGTGCTGAAAGGCTCAACCTCTGCGCCCTTCTTCTGTCACGCTGAAATTAATAACCGTTGATTTGTATTTAATGCTCAATTTCCTCTCTATTATTACAGGCAGTGTAGCGATGGGCTTGGTTTGAGACAGAGTTCACATGACAGCCTTTCTCTTTTCCTCACTCTCTCTCTCTCTCTTTCCTTCTCCCACTCTCGCTCTTTTTTTTTTTGCAGAATACCAAATGGCTTGCACAAATGTTGCATGCTCGTCAAACAACATCTCATTACCGAGTCACTTTTGGGGCTGTTAGTGCGTGCATGGAAAAATGGGAGAGTGTGTTTTGGGTTTAGTGTTCAAACTTTAAAACAGGAATGAAATATGTCCCGTGCACTGCTCAAAATACACTTATGACGTTCCGTTGGGAGAAGTGTGAATATTTTTGGATGATATCTTAGGCTTTGCGCCCACCGTGGAGGGGAAGACGTGGGCATTGTGTCTCAGGTCAACAAAACAAAGAGAATCATTATGAGTCATTACAAAAGCTGATTGAAATACAAAGCGACACTGTTTTATGGAGATAAATGCCCTAATTTTTCTTCGGATGTTCTCAGAGTTAATGTTTATTCAAATTGGGTGAAACATCACACCTCAAACTATTAAAGAGCCATTCAAGTTTTGTTCTGCATCATGTACTTTAGTTGGATTTTTATGGTGTCATTTGTCAAACTTCGTACCTTTCAGTAACACATTTGTCAAAATTTATCAAAGTCAAATGAAAAAAAAAATTCCTAACACATGAAGTTTCACTACTTGCTCTAAAGAAAATAGGGAGAAATGACACATTGTTTAATCAGGCGTAACATATTAAAGTGCCGTTGACTGTGATACAGTATCTCAAAAATCACTGACATTTTGGAAAGCCCTGTCTTCACTCTAAAACTTTTAACAACTTTGGGTCAAATATGGACAAACCCAGCCATTAGGGTTTCATTTTTTAATTATATTTTTACCCCAACATTTGGGTTTGTCCATATTTGACCCAAAGTTGGGTTAAAACAACCCAGCATTTTTAGAGCGTTAGATTCACATTTATTTTATTTTTATTTAGCTATATTTTGAAATAGCTAAGTAGCAAACCATATACTTGATTATCTGGCATAAATCATATTCGATTACTCTCTTGTCTTACTAATGGTTTAATAGAAAGCATTAATAAAATTAGTCACAAGAGTTTCTTTTATTTGAGTAATCAGTGACCGTGCTTTTTCAAAACCAGCAGAGCATGAGAAACCAGTTATGATTTATAGTCACTATTTTAAACTACCAAAGGGTTAAACGATGAGCAGCCATCACGTAACCTGTGGTTGCAAAAAATAAGTACTTCAAGTTCATTTTATGAAGTGTACTTAAGTAAAATGTTTTTTAAAGTATGCTTAGTATATAAATTTACCAGAAGTATACTTGTAAGTGTACCGTTTCGATACTACTACTTGAGCTGAATTGACCCCCTTTTTAGTGTATACTTTAAGAAGTAAACTTTTGAGTACACAACTAGTTTACAATCAGGTTTTTCATTTGAACTGCAATTATACAAGTGAACTTTGGTACAGTATACTGATAGTTTGTACATGTAGCACATTTTTTTAGTTTATGAAAGTACATTTTGAAGTATACTTAAACTATTTAGTAACTAACTATAAGTTGATTTTGCAAAGGGAAACGTTTCTGTTTCGCCAATATGAGCAGGGATGCCTCGTATCATAATAAATTTGATTTATATAACCCTTTTGCTACTTAAAGTGTTACATAAACAGGACACACTGTTAAGTCTAAATGCTCTAATAATAGTATAAAACTTAAATTAAATAAATTAATTCAAATCAAATATTTGGAACTTTATTTTTCTTTTCAGTTCACAGAACTAACACATTAAATATAATAATAATTGTTTGATGGTTTTGAGTTTTATAAACATGTTTCTTTTCATTTAGACAAACTTAAATTTAACTCGAGCTGGGCTGGGATTTTATTCCCCAGTATGCTTTGCCATGCCAGTTCTGCTTAATTAAATTTAATTAAACCTGCTTAACTGATTACCTCAAATGATTTTGAGTTTTGCCAGCCTATTACGGTTTACAGTGGAGGTGACGGGTACTATCAACACAATACACATGTAATGTCAAAATTTGTAATGTCAAAAATATTTACATGTGCATTGTCCATTGTCCATTGTATGTCATTTTTATTGGATATTCAAATGAAATGAGTCACACCATGTCAAAAAAAACATCTTATGGTTACTTGCTGTTTAAACACATATCTTCACACTTAGATCATCATCACACCCTAAATGTCAAGCTAATGTAAGTAATCCACGAGTGTGAAAAGACAGTTTACGCTTCAGTCCTCTCCTTTTGTAGCACACTGCAAGCACTGATAAACATTATGAATATGAACTGAAGTGGCAAATGATATTAGAGTTGCCATTCAAAGGCATCAGTGTCTGATGAGTTCCTTTCTCTCGGCCTCCAAAACCCACATGGCCTCTTCCTCAACTCCTGCCCTCACTTTAACAGCATAATTAAATTCTTTCAAGCGCATTCCTGTTCATTTTGTGTCCATCCTTTTTCTTTAAATTATTCCCCGTACCTGTTAACACCTGACACATTACGGCAATTCCCAACTGTCTGTTATTCTCTCATCTTGTTACCTGGCTGTTTCGATTACACCACAAACAAATGGCTTGTTTGTCTTTCATTAACATCAGATCAGTCATCTGGCCACGGTTTACCCATAAACCGAAACACTAAAGCATGTTCGATCTTATCCTTTCCTGTTTAAGAAAATTTCTCTGTGGCATTCCAGAGTGACAGGCCCTGGGATGCAGATTGGGACTTTTCATTATTCCTCTTGTCAGGTTCCCCACCTGTGGCAGTCACAACACATTCTATCCTCCCTCCATCTCCCTGACAAAACACTCCCTCTTGTTTTGACAGATGATCCTCAAAACAGCTGCTGCGAGCGAAAGAGTTAACATCAGCGAGGGAAAAAAAACAGACAAGCAAAAGCCATCTCATAAAGACTGTTGAAAAACTGACTGGCACAGTTATAGCGTGATCCATTAAGAGCTCCAAAACAAAAGGTGATGCAAGTCAGTTTGTCAACGGGTGTCTAAATGGCTTGTGGTGAACAGTGATGTAATTGTATGAGCTGCAGAGTGTGTGTGAGTGATAGACCTATGCCTTGACTTGTAGTTCTGGAAAAGCTGCTTGGATTGAGAATTATAAATTATTGCATACAAAAAAAAAACAAAAAAAAATTATAATAATAAAAATCTATGGCAAACACTAGTAATGCTACCATTGATCCAAATTACATATTTGAATGATTATTTTTTGGTTGATTTTGGGGAACTACTTCAAAACTTCAGTTTGTCAAACTAAATGTGAAATGTAAAATTTTTAAATAATTTCCTGTAATTTAAATCTGAAATGAAATCTAAAAAAAAAAGAATTACATTACCTGAAACGTAAATGAAAAGTAGAAATCTTGACTTGACAAATAGCTGAAATAAATGTGTTTAACTGAAGTGCCAAATTAATAAAACTGGAATAAAGATAAATGGA